TGTTTATCGTTTACCGTTTACGCGTGCTCACTTTTCTCTCAGACCGGAAGAAGAGACCTCGAGAAAAGAAAAGGAAACTGACTCGCGAACGATTCTGGGGCTATGGCAGTCCAACAGCGTGTTTCCAGAATAGTCAAGAAATATAGACTTAAAAAAAATGCCTAAAGTCTCTTATCTTAAAAAATAAAAAAGGAGGATCAAATATGGTCGACGCTTATAGATCTTGATACCTAACATTTATAAACGTTAAAGACAGACAGACGTACATTTCATACATATAAACTGCATGTCGAATTTTAAAAACGCAATTATAAACTGAAGCTGAAGTAATATCACAAATTAAATCGATTGTTAAATAATAATGCTAATAGATATTTCGCTTCTCTTTAATTAATTTTTTTTCTTTGATATAAAATTTTAATTCAAGCTTAATTATTAGATGTACAAAAAATATGGAGATTGAAAATAAATTCCAAGATTGATCAAATTTTCGTTATATTTATTAGTATTTTATCCAGATAAATCGAGAATGGAGAAATTTAAAATTCGACAAAATCGAAAGAAAAATCAAGACTCGGCAAATGTGTCGTCACACCATACGAAAGCAATTCGGTAAACACATATCAATTCAACAAACGCATGTCACAAAAAAACCAGTTCTATCGTCCGAATGATAGCTCAACATTGCAGTTTACACTTGCACAGTTTACGTTTTACAAGTTTTCCCATGCGTTCCGTGCCGGTATAAAGCGACGCATAACCGTCTCGGACGAAGTGCGCCTTCGAACATAACTCCGCGATGATCAACGGACTCCACTCGCAAGTCTCAAATCATAGAGCGAGACTCGTTGTTACTGAGCGAACAGCATAATCGCGTAAGCACTACCCCGTTATTTTACATTTGAGAATTGTATAAAATCGCACCCTCACTCAGGCATTCTTAACGACGTATTCCTCAATAAAATTTCGCAATAATCTCCACTTCTATCGAAACTTTTCACGCGTAAGATTAAGTACTATAATTTCTGAAAATTATCAATGGCAAAATCTTTTTGTCGAAAGATTGTTTTATTTATATTCGTCGAGTTCTTTGAATCGATAAATATCACTGAGAAAGGCGTTTAGTATGTGCGACTATTATTTTATACTGTAAAATAATTTTAATTAGGAGCTCAATTTTTATAGTTACTATTGCTATAATGTTAGCAATAATAATTATATTTATATATAGTTGACACAACATTTATATATAATTGACAATAAATAACAGTTACATTATAATTATATTATTATACATTTGCAACCACTTTTTTCTCTCGTCAGGATGTCAGCTATTCTTCAATTCGATTTTTGAAAGAAAGAATTAAACATTTTTTTGATATATTTTAATAAAGAATAAATATATAATTAAGTATTAGGTATTGAACTTAATTCCTGCCGCTCGCTTAATTTAAAACAATGTTCCACACCTTTAAAAAATTTTTTTTTAGATTTTTTAAAGGTGTGGAACATTGTTTTAAATTAAGCGAGCGGCAGGAATTAAGTTCAACACCTAATATAATATAGTATATTAAAATTACCGATATATAAACGTACATGTTAATACATAAAAATAACGTCGGGATGAAATTACTTAACAGGGGCAATCGTCCTCTTAAACATTCCAAGTATGTACCTATTACGAAACAAATAGAAATCATCGCAATTGTCACGAGATCCCAAAATTCAGCCTACACCTAAATGACATGCGCCGGAGCGTATCTCGTAAGAATGTTGAGGTCGCGAGGGCGTAAAATCTTTTTTTCCTGGCGTTATTTCGTCCGTTCGTCGCGGTGAACGCGCGACGTTGATTTAGATGGCTGCGATTTCCGAGTCGGCTACTTGTTGTCGGTTGCCGAGAGGCGCGATTGGTGCGTGGCTACACGGCTACACGGAAGGCATGGAGGTAGCAGTCGATTGTCTCTCATTCTCCGTCCGCGTTTCTCCGCTACGTCCCGGATCCTTCCTTCCCTTAAGTCCCGGCGCTGCGCAGAAAGTCGCCACTAATGACACGAAGAGGAATGCTGTCCGGCAGCGCGCGCGACCACGTCGGTAGCCATTTGTAATGTCCCGGGGGAAAAAGTCGAATCAAAGTGTGATGACGTGGGGTGAGCGCGTCGGACTACCTGCAATTAGCGACACACGCTGGTAGCCATAATTAAAATTGCACGCGCGGCGTCCTCTTTGCGCCATGTCGCGAGCACCGCGATGGTGCTTGTCTGTCTCTTCACACTTACACGCGTGCGTCGCCCGACACTTCTTTGTTTCGATGGTATTACCTTCGAAATAGGCTGTTTTTAGCAAAAAAAGCAAAAAATGTCAAAAGTATTTTGTCAAGAAAAAATTAAGATATTTATATCTTTACATAAAAGTTTGGTCTATTAAAATAGTCGTTGTTTCTCGAAATCTAATCTAAGGCTGTAATGAAATAGATGTAGCGTGTTTATGATACGATTATAATATAATTATTAAATTATATGTATATATCTTATTTTAATTTCTTTGTTGTTTAAAATTTTTATATTAAACATTTAACATACTCGAGTCATGCTCTGTTAGCAATAATAACCCTTGAGTTATAAACAACATTTTGTTATTTTTAACTTTCATGCGTGTCAAAATGTAAATCAATCCATTTTTGTAGTTAATTTCAACATTGTGCTTATTAACGTATACATTTAGTATAAATAAATCAAATTTAATACATTTTCTTGAATTAAATTGGGTGAGACACGTAAAATTTGTTAGATTTAATAAAAATGTTCAAACTGTACGAGACAGAAAATTTTCTTCCACTAAACAAAAAGACTCGTGAACGTTGCACGCGCAAATTTATTAATAAATTCACGTCTGAAAATAAAATCTCGCGAATGATAACTTATACAAAAGTGCAATTAATCGCAAGTAATATCGCATTCACGTACCACATAAATTCCACGATTCATCGTGCATTACGAAAATATTTTGTTTCATCTAAAACGGTACCATCCTTGAAAGTTGTAGAAGATGTAAGGATCAGGGCTCGTTCGCAAAACACGATTACTCATCCGGCATCGATCGAGAGCGCGTTTTGCGAAAGTCCGACATTCTCATACCGTTAGTAAATCGAGGTGTTATATCGTGAACGTTATCGAATGCCAGGCAAGCTGGCTCGGGCCTTGGAACAAGAAACGCGACGATCCGTCGCGCCTCCGCCCGGTGGACGATGACAAAGTCGATCGGTGGGACTTGGTGCGGTGTAGAGCCAAGTTAATGCACTGCCGCGGCGAGAAGAGCGGACTGTTTTAATTAGAGAATCTAATTGATGGCCGGCTACGCGGCCGCGGCAACCGGGCGATCCATAAACGACTTCTTAGGGCCGCGCACCTGGGCACCACGGTGTTAATTACTCTCCTTCTGTGGCGAGGTCCTTCCATCTCCCGGCTTTTTTCCCCCGCCGGCTCCTTCATCCTTTTTCGAGCTCTCGACTACCGGTGAGAGTCGGACGCGAGAAGGAGAGAAATTTACGGTGTGAGAAGGAACGGGAAAAGGAGAGACAATAGGAGATAGAGCGAGCTGGAAAAGGACGGAAGGAAGGAAAGATGAAATGAAAAAAAAAGGGAGGAGAGGAATCGAGACAGAGGAAGACGCGGCGAGAGAAAATGAGGGAGCGGGAGAGAAGGGGAGCGGAGCAACAAGTGTCTCCCGTCGCGAAGCGCAAAAGCATTCCTAATTACGCCCCTGCCCCGCTCGGAGCGAAACGAGACAAAAAGCGCCTTGATTACATTTTCGTATAATTTCATCGGCCGGCTCTCTCGCCATTAAGAGCCGCCGCTCCGCGCCGCGCCGCGCCGCCGAACGCGCGCGCAAATTAGATCGATTCCTTAATGCCCCGGGGCCGCGTAATTGGTTCTCATTCTCGGAAGCTGACGGTGAAATCGGATATCTGTCGTGTAGCGCAAGGCCCGGTGGACCAGCCGACCGGTCAACGTAATTGCTTTTCGGACTGTGTGGCGTTTCGCGGTTCTCCTCGAGTCCTCGAGGACGAGGACACGGACGGCGCGGTAGGCGAGAAAAGAATCGTTAATATCGCGATACGTGGCTTCGATAATGAAGCGAAAAATGTTCTACGTCCATCCGTTGTACGACCGCGGCGCCGTAATGAAATATAAGAGACTTGGTGAGTTTTTATTTTTTTTCGCGCATTAACGTGTCGAAACTTGCGGCGTCGTCCGTACCGAACTGTGATGCTGGCGATGCGTATCCTCCCGTCGACGATGTGTGTGTTTTGCAAGAGAGAACGCGAGGGAGAAAAAAAAAATGAAAGAGAGGAAACCCAACAGCGCGTAATTACGCAAACTCTCGAAATGTGTGAGAGCTTCGAGGGGAAAATTGATCCGCGACCGAGGGATATACGTATCGTTAATACCATAATACACGGCCGTAATGAAGCGAGAAATACATTTTCGGCGGCCCGCCCGGTGGGACGCTAATGGAATATATACTTGGAACTTCACAAATTTTATTCCCGCAAATTGATCCTTGCACAGCAACATGATTTTAGCAATCGAATAATTTTGCCCGTGAGGTTACGCAACATTCCGAGAAAATCAATTCTTATTTCCCTGCTATTATATTTTTATTATACATTATGTAAAAATATTATATGTATAAAGATATCGCTTAACGTAAACCTAAGAATTCATCATAGATCAAATTCAAGTTTGTAATTTAGTAGATTTTATAAATAATTTTTATTGTGTAATTGTTGTAATTTGTGAGATTATTTTTTTATTAATCGACTTGTTATCCATTAATACTAAAATAAAAGTGAAAAGTGAGAAGTATTTGTGTAAAATTACACAAAAATCTTGCTATTAATTTTATTCATCATTTATAATAATAGAATATTAAATGCAAAAACACAAAGCTCTGTTGAATACAAGAAGTTGACGGTAACAATTACGTTTTTATTTTTACAGTGGTACAGGGTAGACAAAAGCAAGATCAGAGAAGATCTGCTGGATTTGTGGGTGCCGCTCGGTACCGGTCCCAACGCCGACCAGCCCGACAAAGCCGCCGAAATTTTCCTCGTGAGATCCGCGGAGAGATCCGACTCGCTGCCCCTGCAGGCTTGGCATTCGTTAGCCAGGTCGGCGTTATCCTGGTTCATCAGTCGAACGTCCATAAACGGGTAAGTGCCTATTATGCCGTTTCGTATTGATTTTTCCGCGAGATATCTCGATATCGCGACGCGCGGATCGTGCTGCTTCTGTATGTGATTTCACTTCCTCTACATATTCTATAACGAGGAAGATGTCGTCAACGTGTATTGCTTAAAAGAACGCAAATCTTCTATCTTTTGTACGCGTTGTTATAAATAACATTCAAGTAAACATGTTTTTAAACAGTTGTGATATCGAGAGGTACTCCAGTTTTTTTAGCTTATCTATATGTACATCTGATATTTCCTCATCGCAAAGATAAAGACAAAAATAAAAGAAATTTTCTTGTAAGATTACGAGTAATATTAGTTGCTCACGCAACAACGAGATATATTTTTTGTTACGTAATTTCCTGAATAACAAATAAAATATGACACCGCATTAATTAATATTTCGACGCGTGCAAATATATTGTTATTTTAATTATACAATGCTCAAATTTCCTTTCTCTTTCAATTGAATTTCACTGATTATCCAGTGCCAGATTCAGATTTAGAGAGTATAATCGCCACCTTTACAGTCGCTATACCATCTATTTTCCTCCGAGATGTAGAATGGTAAAATAGTGCGAATAAGAATGATGTCACGTCTCTCGTTTGATATTTATAGAACCTTCGTAATGCAGGCTAATAACATGTAGAATTTTGATAGCTTCTATTCTACATAATGATCCGTCCTCCTGTATACGCATAAAGATCATAGTATGAAGCTGCAGCTGTATAGCATCTACACGCTAGGGCAAGGCCGAGGGCCCTCTCGCTGAAGGCGAGATCGTTTGCGAGGTGATGAAAGGGGGCCTTCCCTTCTCGCCGGTTAATTAATAACCACGGAGATACAATCTCCGCCTATCTCGCTGTCCGCTGCGAGACTCGACAAGCTGGTGGCAAAGGCCCTGGCATGGCCGCGGGTCGGTCAGGCGGCGAGGTGGGCCGTGGGGGCCCCTCCGGTGCTGGGATGGAGGAAGAGAGACGCGGAATGAGAGAATGAGAGAGCGAGGAGGCAGCGCCGTGGTTATTGATGGCCAGCTTTGTTTGCCCCCCGAACCGTTTATTAAAATCCAGCGTGGGTGATTAACCTCTCTCCCTCGGCCGCGTCGTCCTGCCGGCTACCAGGCAACACCTCCAACACTTTGCCGTGTACGTGCGTGTTTACGTATGTATGCGCGGGCATCGGTAACCCGAGGAACCGTTTATTAAAATTTCTCCCGAGACGCGCGCGGCTAGCCGCGGCTACTAGGCGTGACACCGCCGCGCCGCTGTCGGCTTCGAGAGACAGATTGCTGAGCAAAAGCGCACAAGATCGACAGTCCTGCCTAAAGAGGAGTGCCCTTAAGCCACCAGATATTCCGGGATGCGAATTTAAGAATGGGTTGCAGTTTACAATGATTGATAAGCTTTTCGAGAGTGCGTAGCGTAGGAAATCTGCTTCTTTATGGATAGTGTTTCAAAAGTATTACTTTTTAATACTTATATATATATTTCTTTTTTTCATTCATGGTAATTTTTGATTTAGTATATAACTTGTAATTGAATAATTAGACCGTATAATTAGTAAAATAATTAGAAGAAAAGAAGAATATATTCATAAAATGTATAAATTAATTATATTATAATAAATATAACTGGTTCGTAATTATATTTATAGTTATTTTTATAATTATATTAACTGTAACTAATTTTAATTAGCAGAATATAAATTATAAATATTATAATTGAAACTTGTAGAATATCAACTTCGGTATGGAAAATATTTCAAGTCCAATTATTGGCATTGTGCCGCAAAAGCGCCAAGTAATTCACGTTCACTAGTCGATGGAAGACTAATTCAATAGTAGAGAAACGATAATTTTTTGTATTGAATCGTCGATATGATACAAAACGATCTTTCCGAATTCGGTGCATTCGGTGCAACTCAATCACGTTGAAGCGGTCTCGCGCGGCATCGTGGTCGGCACCTCGAGGAACTTTAGTCACGGTGGTACCAGCTGATCGAAAACTCGACGAGTTTACTACTGGCAATCACACTTAGGTATTTGTCTTCGTCATCGCCGAGACGTACGTAATTAAACCTTTTCGCCACGCCATCACAGACCCTCCCTTCCTTCGGACGCGAATTGATTGGTGTAATAATCACCGATATACCACATTGCGAGCCAATAATGCCGGTCACGCGTATTCGTACGGAATGCGAATTCAGTCTCAATTTCAACATAACTACAAATAGCTCATATATGTATATATGTGTGTTTGTGGGTGTGTGCGTGCGTGTAATTAATCTGTATATATCACAGTTGTAAAAATGGGATGCTTATTTCGAGAAGATACAAGATTTATATTAATTTTAATTTGTGATATTACTGATTTTTAATTCTGATTGTGTTTTAAAATTGGAAATAATTTTGGCACACAGTTTACAGGATTGGAATTATGATATATATAAAAATTTACACGAATTGTTTTTAGTATTAAGATCCAACTTGACCGCTTAAATTTTATTTTTAATTGTTTGTGTTGTTCACATCGCAGTTTTTAAAATGATACTTTAATATTATATAAAATTGTTATCTATACATGAAAAAAAAAACGATTTTACTGAAATATTGAAAAATTTAGTTCGATACAGACTTGAAAATAATTTTGTTGGATTGTTAAAATAATCACGTAAGACTCTCAAACTTGTAGTTATTAGAATGTCAAAACTCTTTACAGCATTACGCATATCATGCTTGAACGTCCTACATTTTAATAATGTAATAAAATTACTTTCAAGTCTGTATTTACACTGTTAACAATTTCGTTATTTAAGTAACACGTAAAAGAAGCTTTGAGGTAACTGAAAAGTAATGAATGGTTTAGCTAAAAACTAAGTTACAGTAGTCTTAGTACACAAATATACACTGTTAGAAATGTTCTTAAATTTCATTAACTTTTAAGTTACACAATTGAATTTAATTTTAATTTAATTTTATGACATTACATTAAATTTAATGTATTTGTAACAAAAAAGTATAATATATTTATGTACATGTATATAAAATTTAATGTATTTTTCATAAATTTAATATACAGGTTCATTACATTTAAGTAACTATTGTAACTAAATTTTCAGTTAAATCATTCGTTACTTTTAATTTCGTTCGTAACCACGAGCTTCATTTACATATAAAGGAAGCTCGTGGTTACATTTCTAACAGTGTACTTTTCAGTTACAAATACATTAAATTTAACTTGTGTAATTTAAAGGTATATTAAATTTTATAATACTTTTTACAATGTAGCAAAATTTTTAGATATTTCAGCAAATCGTTTTTTCCGTGTCGCTATTTGTTCATATGTATATTACATTACCTACTCTTAAGAAAAATACTCATCTTTTTATGTGAACTTTCACCTTGACATTTTAATTAGTGGATCACGTTCCTCGAAATTATTCTTGATAATTATACTTTGTAGTGCAGTACCTATTGAGCCCAGAATATAATTTCGCGAAATCGGCGATTATAAAGAATTTCCATGTCAGAAGTTTATAAATGGTTTTTCAATTCCGCCGAGCGACAATCGACCTCGGATTACTAAATAATTACCGATAATTACTCGTAATTACGTTCGACCCGTAATTACAGTCACACGCGATTCGAAAAATGATCAAACCTTCGCCGCGTGACGTCAGAACAATTTAATTCATATTAAACAGTAATTAGCAGTAATTGCTTGCAATTATATCAAGCGTGTAATTATGGTACATTGCGGGACTGTAAGAAATCGAAATAAGATTATAAAAACTATAATAATATCGTCGACAATATCCGTCCAGTTTTATAACGTACATCTGTTTGAAATTTTAATTTCCGCAGTGTTCTTAACATGCCTAATCTAATCATAACTACCCTTTCATCGTACGAAATCCTCGCGATATTGCATTCTTTTATAAATCCAAGTAACGCTATTATCTAACAATGCAAGCATTAAAGAAAGGAGCTGGCCAATTATGAATAATGATCGCGCAACTATATTGAATCCAGTCAGAGTTAGTAACTTTATTTTTATTAGATCGAACGCATATTTCCCTTTTTTCTTTTATACCGATTCACGAATCGTAACGTAATTGCATAAAATAATAATGATATAAAAGATGTGATTGTTGTGAGATTAATTTAAATGTAAATGTTTATAAAATCGGAGATTCGTAATCTTTAAGATCGCAGATTGAAATTAATAAGATTTAGGAGTCAAGAATGTTTGTTGGTTATAAATGGTATATTTAACAATTAAATAAAATACGCTATTTGAGATTTGAGTAATCGCAATCTTTTATAAGCGTATTACAGAGGCGCTTTCACTTGTTTACTAACACGTGTATTGAATTAAATAACAAACGAGATCATTGTCACGAATAACCATCACGAGATTATATCGCGTGCCTTATATTAACCCAGTCGGAAGAAGCAGTTTTATTTGAATGCGTTTTATAAGTATAAATACACACATTTACATTAATAAAATATTCATTAGGAAAATAAATCTACGAAACATCGGTCTCAGGGTATAACGAGGAATCCGTAAAATGAAAAAATTAATTCATGTTCGTGAAATTAGGGATTTTATGTAATACATACAATTTAGCGATGGTTTAGAATAACTTGGATCAAAAATTATTTTCAAAGGAATTAATAACATCTTTTTTATCTGTGCTCTAATAGAAATATATGGAAATGTATTATATAAAATAATGATAAAAATCTTAATTTCTTAATATACTTGAAAATAATCTTGTTAATTCAATTCAATGTCAGTATTAATGAAACAAATAGCACAATTAATGAAAACGAGAGAATGCGATTTGTCATGCATTAGTCCATCATTGCAGAAAATTAGTTATTTTTATTTGGATGTTATCGGCTAATACTTACAACATCATTTTTTCCGTGCGCGTTTATGTGTTTTACAATGTGTTTACCAAATTTTATTTA